AAAATATTTTCAGAAAATAAATTCTATTCCCAAATTAATTTATATTCTGAGAGGAATTCCAGTTTTTATATCTGGAAAATATTTTCAGAAAATAAATTCTTTGTTTACATAATTTCTATTGGGTTCTTCAATTCAAGAATATCTTTACAGAAAGTGCAATTATCACTTAATGAGGGAGGATTCGGTCTTCTGAATCTGGAGTATATCATCATGCTTACCCATTGTCAAGTGTTAAATAATGGAAGCCAACAAGTGGTATTAATTTTCCAATTTGGGCAACTTTGGAATATACATATATAACACCATTGGTCGGATGGATAGTACTAGGATCATATATATACTAAAACTTTAATATCTCTGGAAACAATTTCGTCAGTTAGAAAACTATGTAACATAATGTCTAATAAAAAAAGATTTGACCTTTTTCCCCATGCCAAACTGACTTTATGGGGAAACCCAACATTAAAAATTGGGAAAAAGATGGTGATATGGAAAAATTGGATGGAGCAGGGATATTGACTTTGGACCAAGTGATAGATGATGAAGTTGCATTTTTAACATACTCTGTCTTAAGAGATAAATATCATCTATCAGATGTAACCCAATGGGAATATTTACAGCTACAACATTTGTTAGCAACATTGTTTGGACCAGCAGCATTTTCAGCTTCTGAGACACCTGAGATATTAGAACAACTTGTTAAATCCTTTAAAACTAAAAAAAAACCTATCAGTTTGAATAGATATTTGTTATCAATAAATCAATTTGATATGCAGATGTTAAGGTATGAGTGGAATAAATAATTAGAGGTTTCTATATTGCCTAGACAATGGGAGAGTGTCTTAACTTCTATAGCAAGAGTATCAGTGGACGTTAAACTCTAACTTATACTGTAGAAAAAAAAAATATTTAGAATTTATTGGACTCCACTATGTCTGTATAGAAAAGGATTTCAAAAACAGCATTTTGTTGGAGATGTAATAAAGACAATGCCTCTTTAAAGCATATATTTTTACAATGTCCTATACTTAGCAAGTTTTGGGAGAAAGTAGTGGACTATATAAATAAGATTGTGTGACAAAAGCTAAAAATTTCAGAGGACAATATTCCTCTGAACTATGTACCTGGTATATGGAATTTGATATGTGGGCAACGTAAATGCATTCTCTATGGCCAAAAGACTGATATTGCAGCATTGGAAAGATAAATGTATGGCCCCATTTATTCAATGGACTGAAGACCTGATCGTGCTTGCCACTTATCAGCAGATTACCTATAGAGGTTGTCTTTGTATGGACAAGTATAATGAAATATGGGACTCATTTATACAAAACACAGTAGGTTAAAAACAACAAACCATGATAGTCATATAAATCTATTAGAAATATATATGTACTTGAATAATATTTGTATTAGATAAGTATATATAGAA